ACATGAAAATGAAAGGTGATTCTGTAAAGTGAGTTTAATGATTACATTTTTTCCACTAAGATTACAGATCCTAGAATATAATTGACAAAATCATTAAAACATGCCTACATTTTTCCCTTCCTCCAGTTTTATGATTACTCTTTTTTTTTTTTGCCAATTTCAATACAATCAGCCATTTCTACATAGTTAATCAAAATAATGTAGGAAAGCAAGCAGCCTTGTAAATTTTCCAAGGGAAAAGCTATTTTCTTGGGGGGGGTTACATTTTGCAATCAGAAATGGAGGGGGAAGTCTATTGAGGCTATTTTGTTGAAGTGATGAATGGACAGCATGAAAATCCAGGGCTATTCTCTCACTCTTAAAAACTAAATCATTTACTAAAGATGCAGAAATTAGAAAGAATTATATATGCTTTTTTTTTTTTTTTTTTGAGATGTGGCTTTGGTATGTAGTTCATGCCGGCCTTGAACTCACAGTGATCCTTTTTCCTAGCCTCCCAAATGCTGGGATTACAAATGTGCACCACCACGACTGGCTTATATGTTCTTTTAAAATTCACTTTTGACTATTTTCTGCCAACATTAAGAATTCCTTCTGGAAATAAGTTATTAAAGTGAACCAAGTGAAATTATTTCTATGTCCAGAAAGAAATGCACTTTGTGTTGTGGAGGTGAATGGCAGAAAGGCAAATGCACATCAGATTACATCAAGGATACAGAGGTGGAATTTCACATTTTATCTTCTTGATTTCCTCTTTACCCTCTCTTCTTTGTTTTCATCACTAACATCACCAAGCTTCATTCAGCTTCACTAGCTAACTAGGGCCTAGGAAGGCAGTGCATAGACAATGTCCTCAAAACACAATGTCCTATGTAAACAATTGTTTTTGGCAATTCAGAGGTTTCATGGCAGGTCTGCTCTTTCTTTTCTCTGAAAATCAAATGTTTAGGCTAATGTTAAAACTTCATGTGCATTTTTATGACTTGGCATATTCAAACATTACAAGTACATGTTTCAAAAAGGGAATTTGATCTCTTTTGCTCTTTCTTCCTTTGGCCTACACCTTTTCCTAGTTTGATTGTTTTCCCTTTTACAGTATATTTTCATATCTTGGTATATCTCTTCTGCATCTGTTTCTCCTCAATTGTAATTTTTATTCAAAAATAATAACTCTTCAGTTTCTTTGGACATTTCTGTTTTGCCCCCACCTATGAACTTTACTAGGGTGTGTTGAAGGTTAGCAGCTCCATTTCTGGAATTCTCTTGGATTCTTTTTGGAGAAAGGAGCCAAAGAATATAAGCAGGGCTCAAATACATCTGAGCTATGCCAAGTCCTTTGAGGAAGGCTCCACATAGCTGTGCCTTCTGCCAGCTCCTTTCTGGTCTCGGTATGCCCCGTTTCTTGATGATTCCACACAGCAACATGCATCATTTGCTTATATGGGAAAGAAACCTTTGGACTAAGGGAAGAGCCACAATACTTGTTTACCTCACAGTACTCTACCTAGCCCACTAACAGGTGAAATGGCTTCTCAATTTGAGTTTTCTATATTTCTTCCCCATCACACAGGGGGTCTGAATGTTTCCAGTGCTCATTTTTAAGTGCTCCCATCAGCCATGAGGAATAATCAGATTTGTTCAAAAAGCTTTTTCCACAATGAACTGAAACAACAGAAATCACATAAATAGCAAAAGTATTGCTGGAACTATTTGGTTGGAGGGACTTTTTAGCAATGCTTTGCCAAAGGGTTTTTTGGGCCACAGGATCACTGTTAACATACTACTCTTTTGTATAACACATAATTCTATTTGTTTCAGTTGTGATTCTTTCTGTTGCAAGAGGCAGTAAACTCAACCCAAAGTAGCCTAGCTGAAGGACTATTGTTTTTTATTATTGAAAAGCTCAGAGGTGGAGTTGTCTACTTGTGTGGCTCAAATGGTGGATTTTTTTCTGCAGATATGTTGGCTTTTTCTCTTCAATGTTGGCTCACTCATAGACATCATTTAGGACACCTTCAGGAGAATATATCATCAGAGATAACAGGACTAAAGAATATAAGCTCCAGAATGTGTATTTTCTCAATTTCACTTGCACAAAGGTGCTTGCAGCCAGCCATTCAATAACAAAGGGTTAGCCTAGATTTCTTGTCTATCTAGAAAGAAGAGCAGCACTGGAAACCTAATTTTTTTTTTTAAAACCCAGTTCTTGCAAAAGCTTCAATTACCACTGAGGTTGCTTGGAAATTAAATCTTTATTATATCAAGTATTTTCCTTCCCTTCCTTCCTTCCTCCCTTCCTTGCATCCTTTAATCACATGCTTCAAGAGAGGCTAGACCTAGGCCCAGCTCCTAGATTAAATTGATCCACCTAAGATTCATGAGGTGGTTCCTTTCCTTTTTTTTTTTTTTTTTTTTTTTTTTTTTTTTGGGACTGGGGATCAAACTCAGGACCTTGTGCTTGAGAGGCAGTCAGCAGAACCACAGAGCTGGCCCTCCTTTCCTTTTGATTATGATGGATTAAAACAAAACAACACAAAAATTGGCACAGTTTTGATCAAATAAATGTGGAAGAAAGTAGGGTGAAGGCTTTGGGAACTGTCTCCTTGTTCTTTAGCAGGGACACTGAAAAAGAGATACTGTTTAGATATGATGCCAATAGCTACTGCAGCTCTCTAGGGGCCTAGGGAAACTAGGCCAAGGACCAAGGATTACAGTATGTGTTGGGGGTGGCAGAGCAGAAAGATGGAAGGAATTAAGGGTTTTGGTGACTTCTTTGAACTATAGTTTTAACTGACTCTGGAGCCACCCTATCTTCAGATATTTTGCGATGTAGGATGGGAAATTATTCTAAGTGAGTAAACCATATTGAGTTTTCTTGTTAGTGTAAATTCAATCCTTTTTTTGTTTGATCAATTTGTTTATATTCTTTAGTCCCATTATCTTCTCTTTGACAGTAGCTTTAGCTGAAAGCCGTGGGTGTGTGATGTGTCCATAGGCCTTAGCCTGACAATCCATCCCTTCTGTAGTGGGATAGATTCATCCCATTTGAGCTCATGGGCTGAGAGTGCAGGAGCAGAAATATCCTCTAGGAAATGGGGTATGATCTCCACAAAATAGTGAAATAGATGATGCAAGGAAAATAATGCAGGTGTCCAGTACTTTGTTCTTTTGAATGAGTCTGGTATTATATAGTAGCCTCAAATTGTAATTTGTTAGTTGGTCTGATAGCCATGCACATGTAACTTTGAAGGTGTTTAAAATAAATGACAGATCTGCTACTTTATTATTTCTTCTCAGTAGCCTATGCAAACTTCTCCTCAGTTAAGTTCTCATATCCCCAGAATTGGACCATAAACCATTTTGAAATTATAGCAAAGAAGAGTGTGACCCATGGTAAAGACAGACAAAGCATATTTTTGTTAGGTGATTCAGTGGTTCATAAGAACACTAGAACAAGGTCACTATTTAACCAGTATGTACCTTCCCCCAAACGCCGTGCTTTTTGGCTCTCATCTCTCATAATCCATGAAAGTTGGTTGGTCTAATGGCTCTCAGAATCAGCCTGCTATGTAGAAGAATGAGGCCTTGGGTCAGGCTCTGTCTAGTGATTTCAGTTCTGCTGTTGGCTGGAATTCCATCTGTCAAGAAAGTTTCGCAGTCAGCCATTTGATAGTGGAAGGGTTAGCCCATGAAACTGGATTTCCTGTGTGTCTGGAAAGAGGAGCAGCCCTGGAGATCTGACACATTCTGTGAAAATAAGGGGTTAGTTTTTGCTATTCTCAGTTAGTCTTTGCTGAGTCTAATGCACTCCAACATTTGAGGATTAAAAAAATAAATAAATAAAGAAGAATTTCTGTATTTTTATGAACTTAACTTCATAGCAAGAGAATCAAATCAACATTAAACTATTTACTTCCCTCCAAAATAATTTCCTCTCTGTCAATGCACAGACATGCATTTTTACTTAGTTGTAATTAGTGTGAACAGACTCGTTTTTGCTTATGAAAGGTTTTCTTTACCTTGGCATCCAGATTTGTTTTCATAGGCGAAGAAAATACTGAGGAGAAAGAACCTTTGCTGGATGGTGGGTAGAATTATATGGGGTCATACTATTCCAGAGTTAAAGAAACCTTAAAGGACCCCATATCCCTTCTCATATCTCTTATGATTATCCATTTGCACTAATAGACACACTGGAGTGGCTTCTCCACTTAAAGCTGTTTCCAGATCTAACTCCGCAGGACTCTGGCTCCTAAAAGGGGAATGAAATCCGTGCTCTTGTCTGGCAGGGCCTAGTTCTTTGTCACATGCCTGCTCCCTGAACTCTTGCCTCTGCTTTCTTACATGGTTTTCCTTGTGGGGGGAAACAGAAACGATGATGGCACAGTTCTACGGTACATACTGTACCTCTCAAATGTTTTCTTAAGTGCATTCATACACTGATAGTTTCCAACCTATCAAAGCATAAAATTGCCAGTCCTTTCCCCCAAGTTAAGGAAGTAATCATGTTAGGTTTAATTAAAAACAGCAACTATTTGTACAGCTGTCCCTGGGTTCACGGCTCATAAAAGGATTTAGTTTCAACCCTGCTGTCGGAGTTCTTTGGGAGTTTCATGTAAAACCATTGAGGCTCCTCACTTGGGCAGTGCCAGGCTTGGGCTTCAGCGGCAGACCACACCTGCCTTGAGATGTTACCCCTTCAGCAGCCAGGCTGCAGGTGCCAAGAGGGCAGGTCGCAAAGTCCAGATGGCAGAACTCTGACATACATAAGTCAACCTCCTTTGGTGTGGGGAGACTCGAGGCCCAAGACCATTTCAAGAAAGTCCTGAAGTCGTCCCTAGGGTTAGCAGAGGAAGGAGAATCAGGCACTGTCTTCCTCTTTATAGGTTTGCTGAAGTTCTTCGCACTTTTGCTCCGGGGAGAGTCTCTGTTATCCCTATCCTTGGCACCACCATCCTTCAAAGGGGGAAGGGGGCGGGGAAATTCTGCTGATAGATGCATCTGCACAAAGCAGCACGGTTCCCCGGCAAAGCCCTGGAGAGGAGGAAGAATCAACGCTCAGCATTTGGCTCATATTCAGGTGCACACCAAGCAGCGCTCCAGGCAGCTTTGGGTCAGAACAAGGCTATTCGAACTTGAAACGAATGAAGGGGACAGTGTGGGTCACTGACTGCGGGCCGGAGGCGGGGCCGGCCACACACACGGAGAGACGCGGAGGCGCAGGAGCCGCGAGTTAGGAAATGTAACCCTGGCGACCCCCAAAAGCCCCCGCCTCCCCGGCTCCTGCTCTACCTGCTTGCCTAGCGTTCTGAGCTGCCACCGTAGGCAATGACCAGCCCTGCGCCCTTAGTGGCCTCCATCAGCCACCAAATGGTTGCTCTGCAGACCCTGCAGCTGCTGCAGCAGGAGTGGGGCTGGGGGGACGGCCCGGGAGCCCCGGGGAGCCCGCGAGACCTGGACCACGTGCCCGCTGCCGCACCCCGTCAC